TGGGGCAGCCCCGGGGGGGCTCTGGCCCCGTGGCCAGCCCTGGCCCCGTGGCCAGCCCAGCCCCGGCCGTGTCCCCGCAGGACGAGAGCCACTCCGAGTGGGTGTCGTGCGTGCGCTTCTCCCCCAACAGCAGCAACCCCATCATCGTGTCCTGCGGCTGGGACAAGCTGGTCAAGGTGAGCGGGGCCGAGCCCCCCACGTTTGCCCCTCCGAGCCCGGCCCTTGCCCCTCTCACCGCCGGCTCCTCCCCCAGGTGTGGAACCTGGCCAACTGCAAGCTGAAGACGAACCACATCGGGCACACGGGCTACCTGAACACGGTCACCGTGTCCCCTGACGGCTCCCTGTGCGCCTCGGGGGGCAAGGTAGGGCCCGGGGGGCGCGCGGGGGACACCTGGGGGGTGCCCGTGGGGCCCCGCTGACACGCAGGGTCCCCTGTGGGTGTCCCCTGTGGGTGTCGCCAGGACGGGCAGGCCATGCTGTGGGACCTGAACGAGGGCAAGCACCTGTACACGCTGGACGGGGGGGACGTGATCAACGCGCTCTGCTTCAGCCCCAACCGCTACTGGCTGTGCGCGGCCACGGGGCCCAGCATCAAAATCTGGGTACGGGAATGGGGGAATGGGCCTTGGGAATGTGGGAATGACCCCCGGGATCATTGGGATTGACCCCTGGGATCCTTGGGATCAATGGGATTGACCCCCGGGATCAATGGGATCAATGGGATTGACCCCCGGGATCAATGGGATTGACCCCTGGCTGTGCGCGGCCACGGGGCCCAGCATCAAAATCTGGGTACGGGAATGAGCCTTGGGAATGTGGGAATGTGGGAATGATCCTTGGGATCAATGGGATTGACCACCGGGATCATTGGGATTGACCCCTGGCTGTGCGCGGCCACGGGGCCCAGCATCAAAATCTGGGTACGGGAATGGGGGAATGGGCCTTGGGAATGTGGGAATGGGCCTTGGGAATGTGGGAATGGGCCTTGGGAATGTGGGAATGATCCATGGGATCAATGGGAATGACCCCCGGGATCACTGGGATCAATGGGATTGACCCCCGGGATCAATGGGAATGACCCCTGGCTGTGCGCGGCCACGGGGCCCAGCATCAAAATCTGGGTACGGGAGTGTGGGAATGGGCCTTGGGAATGTGGGAGTGTGGGAATGGGCCTTGGGAATGTGGGAATGGGCCTTGGGATCAATGGGAGCAATGGGATTGACCCCCGGGATCATTGGGATCAATGGGATTGACCCCCGGGATCCATGGGATCAATGGGAAGGAGCCCTGGCTGTGCGCGGCCACGGGGCCCAGCATCAAAATCTGGGTATGGGAATGTGGGAATGGGCCTTGGGAATGTGGGAATGATCCATGGGATCCATGGGATCACTGGGATTACTGGGACTGACCCCTGGCATTGATCCCCGGCTCTGGAATCCCGGGAATTGCCCTGCCCTCCCCCCGTGCTGTGATGAAACGTTCTGATGCCTCCGAGCCCTCCGTGGGGAAACCCAGAGGCTGTTTCTGAGCCGGCCGCGGGGTCCAGGTGGGATCAGGTGGGGCCCAGGTGTGCCCGGGGCCGCTGCTCACCTGTCGGGCCCCGCAGGACCTGGAAGGGAAAATCATCGTGGACGAGCTGAAGCAGGAGGTGATCAGCACCAGCAGCAAAGCCGAGCCGCCCCAGTGCACGTCCCTGGCCTGGTCGGCCGACGGGCAGGTGAGGGCCTGGGACACTCACCTGGGCACGGGGAGGGCCTGGGGACACTCACCTGGGCACGGGGACACTCACCTGGGCACGGGGAGGGCCTGGGGACACTCACCTGGGAACGGGGACACTCACCTGGGCACGGGGAGGGCCTGGGGACACTCACCTGGGCTCGGGGACACTCACCTGGGAACGGGGAGGGCCGGGGGACACTCACCTGGATATGGGGACACTCACCTGGGGAGGGGGACACTCACCTGGGCATGGGGAGGGCCTGGGGACACTCACCTGGGGAGGGGGACACTCACCTGGGCATGGGGACCTGGGGAGCCTCACCTGTGCAAAGGACGCTCACCTGGGGACCCTTCACCTGGAGCCACCCCAGGAAGGACCTGGGGCTGGGGGTCGGGGTTGGGTGACCCCCCCAGGTGACCCCCAGGTGACCCCCAGGTGACCCCTGTCCCTGTCCTTGTCCCCAGACCCTCTTCGCAGGTTACACCGACAACCTGGTGCGGGTGTGGCAGGTGACCATCGGCACCCGCTGAGCCCAAATCTCGATTTTTTTATCCCAAAAAAAAGAATTAAAAAATCAATAAAGTGGCGTTTTCTGGAGCCGGGGTCACCGCGTGTCACTGC